ATGCAAAAAATGTATGTTCTTGATAATTGAGTTGTAGCCATCTTTGGAGCTTTCATTTTATATTATATTATCCTGTATGTTTGTAATTGATATGTACGAAAATATTATTGTCAATAGAAGTATTTTGCAATAACAAATAACAACAAATATAACTACATGAACTACACCAACATATTATCACTACACATGGTGATTATTTTTCTTGTTGAACTGTCCGGTTAATTTTTAACTTTTTATATATTAAAACAGTTGAATCATGTCAAGATCTGCAGAAGCCTGCATGGCAACATGGGGTCAAACTTGATCCCAACAAAAAAGGTAAAATTATTTGTAATTACTACCAAAGAGTGATAAGTAGTGGGGTACATAGGTTCAAGCAACACTTGGTAGGGATTAATAAAGATGTTTCTGCATGCAGTAGTGTCCCTAGTAATGTAAAAAAACAGATGGCGGCATTTCTTAATGCTAACAAAGGTAAAAAAATTGCCAAACATAGGATGAATGAGGAGATAGCTAGTTTATATACGCCATCAAGTAAGAATGATACAGAAGAGCAATATAATAATGATCTAGAAGAGCAATATAATAATAACCTGGACATGGCCACAAGAATGAGTTTACATGAACAATATCAGAAGGAACGTGGGTTTAGAATGCCCGATGGGTCTAGCTCAGACATGCATGGTGGGTCTAGCTCAGACATGTATGGCGGGCCCAGCTTAGACATGCATGGTAAGCCCAGGTCGAGCATGTATGGCGGGCCCAGCTCAAATATGTATGGAGGGGTTGGTGGCAGTATGTGTCAACAAGAATCAAACGTTGAAGAAATAATTCCTAGCTTATCTAAGAGTGCCAGTATTGCAGGTCATGGTCGTATATACCCATTTCTCTCAAAGCCTAAGTTACAACAGATGACCCTAAAAGGCATCGTTAAAGGTAGAAGATACATGTTGGGGAGATATATTGGTAAATGGTTCTACGATAAAGGGATTCCCTTTGATGCAGACAATAGCCCATATTTTCCACCTATGGTCAGTGCAATTCAGAGATCCGCGCCCGGGGTAAAACCCTCGACGGCATATGAGCTCAGTGGGCCAATATTAGATAAAGAGGTGGAGGAAGTTACAAAGTGGATTGAAAAATATAAACAGAGTTGGCCAAGGACAGGCATTACTCTCATGAGTGATGGTTGGTTGAATAAAGTTAGCAAAAAGAGTTTTTAAACTTCTTGGCCTATTCCCCAAAAGGTACAGCTTTTTTGTCTAGCAAAGACGTATCAGGAACGAAGAAGGATGCAAATTTCTACGTACAACTATATGATCAGATAGTGGAGGAGGTATGAGATAAGCATGTAGTCCAGTTTATTACGGACAAAACATGTGCATGTATTTCTGTGGGCAGCAAGTTGATGGATAAGAGGAAGCATCTAGTATGGACCCCGTGTGCTGCACATAGCATCGATCTTATGTTAAAGGAGATCGGTGAGATCAAAATTGTGAATGAGACTCTAGAGGAAGCAAGGTTGGTGTCGAGATTTATATACAACCACTCTAAAATATTATTTATGTTTAGATAACACTCTAAGAATAAAGAGATAATCAGGATTGCCATAACCCTCTTTGCGACCGATTACTTAGCTGTGGACTCCATTCGGGAATCTGAAGGTGCATTAAAGAGATTGTTTACCTGTAAAGAGTGGTTAAATGACCGCCTCTCAAAGTCCAGTACTGGTATAAAAGTGGACGGCATAGTCTCAAATAGGAGGTTCTGGTCTTGATGTTCCGATGTCGTAGAAGCCACTGCCCCTTTGGTCACGGTCTTAAGAATGGTGGATGCTGACAAGGAAGCTACCATGGGCATTCTTTATGAAGGTATTGAAAGAGCGAAATCAGCTATTGGAGAGAAGTGTAGTTTTGCAAACAACGTGATCGAGATTATAGAACGGAGGTGGAACACCAAATTTGGACGTCCAATTCATTAGAATGTTTCATTTTAAATCATTTTTTTATGAAATTGTAGATGACATTTTTCTATCTATATATTTTATAGGTTATTACTTCAACCCAAAATTTTTCTATTTGACAACTGAACATCCCTACAAGATTATGGAAGGGGTTAAATACATTATTACAAGGTTGGAGAGAAGCCAACAAAACCAAGTAACAACAATACAAGAGGTATTATTTAATGTTTGAGTAAGAACTTTATTGAGTTGTTATATTTGTGAGGAATAATACACTAAAACAAAATATATTTGTTTTAGCTTGCTATGTATAGGGATGCAATAGGATCCTTCGGAACGAGACTTACCATGAATTCTCGAACTAAAATGGATCTAGGTTATCCCCTAGCTAATATTTTGTTCATTCATATATTTAATCTTATGAATTGTTCTTACCCTTACAATGCTTTTTGCATTTTAATACAGCTGAATGGTGGGAGATATATGGTGATGCATAGCAATCAAGATGCTCTCTCAGACATGTTCTGTTACTGGCTGTAAACGCAACTAGAATACGTTCCAATGGTTGCGCACTACTAAGAGAAATCGACTCGCTTCAGAGAAGATTCATAAACTAGTCTACGTTCATTACAATTTAAACCTCCGAGAGCGACAAATAAAAAGAAAGCTTGAAGATTATGTGCCAATAAACTTAAACACAATATTTGTCACAGACACAGCAGACCAATGGGTAGTAGAAGAGGAGGAGCCAGTGTTGCACAAGAGAGCGTTCCTTGAGGCTATCAGTGAGGATGATCTTAAAGAAGGTGATGAGCAGCACGATAGAAGAAGCAGTCAACCAATGTATCCACAATTGTCGAAAATGTCGGTGATATTGCACCTGATGAGGAAGAATGGAAATGGGGTCTAAAGGAAAATGAGAGAGATGATGATTCCGAGGCCACCCTATCCCAGCCATGTTATTCACATATCGAGTCTCAACAGCAACAGGATAGAGACGAACACGACAATGTACGTGAGCATGAAGGATGTACAAGCTTCGGGGATTTTGGATTGAGAACACAACAGAACACTAACACTCAGGGATTTGGATATAATCAGACGCTTGCTAATATCAATGATTCGTTTTTAGATCGAATCAATGAATTGTCAAACGAATTCAATCAATGGCACCAACGTGACCAAAAAGAAAAACGACATTGTCTGTCATTTTACTTTTAGATCATATGTTACTAATTGTATGCTTTATTGTAGTTTATGTATGTTGATATACTTATTCTATGATAATGTTTATCCTTTTGTGTGACATAAATTAAATGGTAAATAATAGTTCATGCAGAAAAAGAACATATCAATATTCGCATACTCATGCAAAGAAATGAAAATTCTTAATGGAGTACCCTCATTTTTTATTGAATTCTTAAAAAACAAATTTATAATGAATTTTAATAATTTTTTTGGATTTTTTTGAAGCTTTAATCTGACCGATTCACCCGATTCCCGATCCAAATCGTCGATTGGCTGATCCGGATCGATTTTTGAGGTGCCCGATCCAAGTCACCGATCCGCTTTTTAAACCATTGGGGCAAACAAATGCTAACATAATATTGTTTCATTATATTACCATGTACCAACAAAAAAGAAAGTTTATATATATAAGAGAAGTTAAAAGGTCCACATGTACAATTATGCCATGAGATCATCTCTTTAAATGCACATATATTTTCATCCTTTATTTATTTTATTTTTTTTTCTTTGTTTTGTTTTTAACAAAGTGCTTCTGAAAGCGTATACTATACACTCCTTCAACTAAAATATATTTAATTTTATCGATAATTTTAAAATCCAATTTCTAAAAGATGAATGTTTTTATAAGACCTAAGCTTTGAATTTTAAAACTCAAAAAATGATACAAATCTTATATCGGATATGTTAATACTTATTTTTAGGTGGAAATGGACAGTCTAGATATTTTTTCTTTTTAAAATTTTTTATTGAGTGCATGGTTAGCCCAATTTAATGTGAATAAAGTTAATAAAAATATAAAAAATAAAATATCAAATCAAATCATAATCATTCGGCCTAAATTCAATCTGAATAGTTGAAAGTGCTATAGACTGTCCAAGGTAACTAGAATACTTCCATGTAAAATCTCTCTTTCTCTCTCTCCACACCATTGCCTTTGCAATCCAAAAGCGCAACCAGTCAAATCATAAATTTATTTTAAAATTTTTATAGTAAATAAATTCAAACATTCAAATTATTTCTATAAAGTAAATAATCTCATAAATAAAAAACAAATAAATGTATCATTTTCCTTAAAAATAATGGACAGTAGAAAATTGTGGTTGTCGGCGGATAATGACTGTTTGGAAGTGGGCTATACTCATGAAATAAATGACTAATCTGGTGAGACCACTTTCCAACCATCAACGTCTAAATCGTTTATTTAACACCTTAGACCATACTATTTCCGAGGACCACGTCATTCTTGTAGTAAGCACTGTGCCAGTACTCGTAATCACTCATCCACCAACCAATGATATTCATCAATGGACAATGGGGATGAGCCACCTCATTCCACCCATGGGCAAGTTTGGACTTAAAAAGTGAGAATAGCTCACATCACCATCCATTGATGAGCTTGGATGGTGCATGGGCACTCTGAGTGACCCACACCATGCTTGTAGAAACACAATCCACATGTATTGGAAAAAAATATAGAAGATGCCAAACATTCTCAGTGGTGAAAGTTACCCAATGGTGTTAATCAAATTGTTTCATCAGGGCTTTCGGTAATTGGCTCCAAAAGGTTCTTGGACCAAAATCAATGCATGGAGATGCTAAAGAGTACCGTGTAATCAAGTAACTGTACCTTGACTACCACCAGTAAAGTCTCCTGTGCTCACTACACAGACTTCTAATATTTTGAGATTAAACTATCCCTGAATGGTGGCAGCCCCCAGTCGCTTGGCTTGAACTCTAACAGGGAAGTAAGAACCTGGTCTGCACCTTTGTACAAGGAAGTGTCTAAATTGGGGTCCGGAACCATCACTACCCACCTGCAAATCCCCACATTACCACAAGTCCACCCAAGCAATAAAAAGGTAAGCCCCCTAAGTGCGTAGTATCAATCCCAACCAATGATATGAATTAAGAAAATTCTCTAAATTAGTCAATTACAAAATTTCAAGTACCCTTGAAATTTTTCATAAGGGGTATTCAGCTATTCCCAAAACAACAGAACTGCGCCACTCTTCAAGAAGCAAGTTTTCTTCAAGGTGCTCTCTCTCTCTCTCTCAAAAACATATGCATCCATATCATATTTTTGCTCATATGATAATCATAACAACATGATCATGAGGTTATGATCATCCTATCAGTGGATTGGACAGTGATCGAGGGAGTGGGTCCCACAGAAGGTGTCGTAAAGATATTGTGTACATCCCCACTGTCCATATCCAACCCAATTGATTGGATGGTGCTAATGGACATGGTCATATTGTAATAATGAAGATATGGATCACACAATATTTTTCTGACATATATTTCTCTTTTTTTTTATGTTGCAAATATTTCTCATTGCCACATCACTATAACTAGGAGATTTGGAAGTAACATGTCCCACAAAAATGTGAACTTCAGTTGTGGATTGGAAAACAAACCAAAGCAAAACTAGCTTAGTTCAACAATATGCACTTACATTCCAGCATTCTTAGCAGCAGCCACTCCAGAAGGTGCATCTTCAAATACCAAAATTCTATCCTGATCAATAGGAGCACCCTGAACCAACCACAAATTATTGCTTATATACTTATGATTAAGTAACACCAGACGCTAATGTCATCAATGAACAAACAATCCCAAAACATAGCACTCAAAAGTGAACAAACATTATTATAGAAGTACAGTTCCAATACCTTAAATTTTTGAGCTGCCAGGAGAAATATATCTGGAGATGGCTTTCCTTGTTTAATTCCCGGATCATCACCACAAACCACATGATGCATCATGGAGATCTTTTCCTTATGCTTTGTTGTCTTCAACTCAAAATGTCGTCTGTGAGAACTGTCAAAACATATCTTTATATATGAGGAAAACACTAAAGGGATTCATTCTCCTGAATACTTTTTCCTTTTTTATGGGGTCCGATAGTTAATATTCTGATTGACTTATGGATCAATAACATAAAAAATGACATGAGGAGAATTCTACAAATTTAGATCACAAGATATTGACCTTTCAAGGCACTCTAATCTGGCCATTCACTGAATAATAGGGTCTTGCAGGTAGGTTTGTTGATTCGATATCAAATGAATGATGGATAATAAAACTAGATCAATAATAATATACAAAGGGCATTAAGCTTTAATCATGTAGGCGATGGAAACAGTGGTAAATATGGTAGTGGAACCCCTAGAACAGGATATAACCCAGTGGTGGGTCGCACTCTTCATCATTGCCTGCTGTTCAATGGACAATGGTGACCCCAATGCGATCTATTGGAGTAGACATTTTTTTAAGAAACAACAGACCCACTTTTCATGTAGTTAGACATCTAAAACACCATAGTGGTTAGTGGCTTAAATGCACATGCATGCAGGCATGCAAGCACACACACACGCACATGCAGGCAAGTACTTGGGATGGACACAGCAATTCATGGAGCCGCTATAGAATGCCCCTAAAAACAACTTGTTATGGGGATATTTGAGGCTAGTAATTTGGTAGACTTGTCGTAATCCACCTAGTGATCATTTAATATTGAATGTATACACACACGCACACACACATTAAGCTCCTAAACATCTAGATCCTTTTGTCTTGGGCGACTGTTTTAGAAATAGCTCCACATCCATATTGATGACTTTTTGGTGCCCCATTGGGATACAGAATTCTTCACCAAGAAGCCATAGTAATTATTCGGCCTTCCTGGTCTAAAACTTTTTGACAACAGCTTGGTCCCTCCTCCTTCTGGAAGGAGACTCTCAACTGTCATCACTTGGGCTTGAAGAGCATCCATTGTTCCCTGGCTATTAGAACGAATCTTCGACCAAATTTTTGAAATCGCCAGCTCACAACATGTTTTCTTTGAAGCATTCATGAGGAGTGGCAAATGCAGAGGCAGGTCCTAGTAAAACAAGGCACTGTAGAAAACAATTTTTTCATATAAAAGCCACAAGTTTAGGGCTTAAGACTTAAAAATAATGCATCTTGCAACACGTTATTTGGACCATCCACTTTAAAAATTTCATGTGTTTGTAGATCTACGTGATTCAAACTACTTTTTGAAGTTCAAAATTTTATAATTAAAGATGAAAATAGATTCTCAAACCATCCAACTAAATGTTTACATTAAAATTATATATTATGATAAAATTTGGAGGTGCGCCTTACTTTGATTATTTAAGACTTGCAACATTATGTAATATATATATATATATATATATATATATGTATATAGATGAATGAGAGAGAGAGGGATCATTAGTAGTAGGTGTCAGTAGCATTGTATTGACATAAATGTACAAAAACCCAAATTATATAACAGTTACCTTGTTGCCACACACATAGGTACGCCATGAGTATGAAGATGACTGATCAAACGGCTCACTCCTATCATCAATTCATAATCATTGACACGATTAGTCATGTGTCTCAACTGTCAACTTCTTAATGCTAGAATTGGTGACTAAAGTAGCAGCATATCTGTCAATTGCTTAAGTCAGCTCACTATAAAATAGCACATAACTCTGGTTTACTGTAAAAAGTTGTAGTAGCATGCACTTGGCAGAAGCAACAATGATTTCTGTCCCATGGCAGGAGAGTGCTCTGTGGCACTTGGCTGGCCCTGCCTCAGCAGCAAATAAAAGGGGCTCACATTATACATGTGAAAACTTTTTAGATTTCCATCTTTATGCAAGGAATTACGATTTTTTTAAGGTAATTTCAATAGTTGAGCAGAATGGTACAAATGGGTCACTTCCCCCCTTTAGTTGACTAAAAAACAATTTAGTTTTCACCTCCCCATCATCATCACCATCATAGTATTAACCCAACTATTTGAGGTCGGCTATATGAATCATTTTCTGTTATATTGGATCAAGATTAATGATAGAGATGTAGCAAAAGTTTTACGCTGACTACCAACCTAACACAAAACCCTCCTTTCTAATCCGGGCTTAGGACCCGCAATTTCCTTTTTTCTCAACCCAGCTAACAAGGAAAATTTCAGAACTCGTGACTTGCACAAGTTCTGATAAAAGAACTTGTGAACAAAGAGTCATGTATAACTGTAATCTGGAACGGACCAATTTGAGCAGCTACCAGCTTCGTTGCAAGGAATACCAATGGTAAGTAAAACATTCACAATACACAAATTTAGAACTTTGAGTAGACACATTGGCACGCTTCTAAAGATTATATTATACTATCAATATCCACTTTCAAAAATTATCAATCTTTAAGGGCAAGTTTGGTTCACGTGACATTGTTTTCTTAGAAATCATTTTCTAGAAAAATAACTAATTTCTCACATTTGGTTCGTAACAAGAGTAAGAAATCTTTTTACCTTTGAAATTAATTTCCATGAAAAGTGTTCAAAATCTAAGAAATTGGATTTATACCTATGTAGGTATGATTCAAGTTTCTTGCAAAATAATTGGTGGTGGGGGTGTAAGTAGGGCTGCCATCCGGGCGGGCTGGCCCGAGGCCGGCAACGCCTGAAAATACTCTGGCCTGACCCTGTAAAGCTCATCCTAAAAACAGTACCCAAAAAACCTGCCCTGCCCCGAATAACGTACTATTAAAGCCCGGACCGACCCGAAAAGAATCCATGGGGCCTGAGCCCAGCCCATTAAGAAGCATCATTTTTCTTTTTTTTTTCCTCCATTTCACATTTAAACTTTTCTTTAGTAAAAAAGAAAAAAAAACACATATGCTAAAACATTTTTTAGAAAATTTAAAAAATATTGGGTTTCTAGAGAGAGAAATAGGCATTGGGTTTTTTTGAGAGAAAAAGATAGTTTGGGCATTTAGAGAGAGAAAGAGATTGGATTTCTAGAGAAAGAAGAGAGATTGAAATTTTAGAGAGAGAATGAGTTTTTAGAGAGAGAGGGATTGATTGCTAGAGAGAGAAAGAGAGCTTGGGTTTCTAGAGAGAGAGATTTGATTTTAGTGAGTGAAAAAGAGATTGATTTTCTACAGAGATTGAGTTTTTAGAGAGAAAGAGTGACACTAGGTTTCTAAAGAGAATGGGCTTTTAGAGAGAAAGTGAGAATGGGTTTTAGAGAGGCATGAGTGAATGGATTTTATAGAGGCAATAGAGATTGAGTTTCTTGATAGAGAAAATGGTTTTTAAAGAGAGAATAGATTTTTAAAGAAAAAGAGATTGGATTTCTAGAGTGTGAGAATGGGCTTTTTAGAGAGAAAAAGAGAGATTGGATTTTTAGAGAGAGTTTTTTGAGAGAAAAATAGATATTGGGTTTCTAGAGATAATGGGTTTTTAGAGAGAGAATGAGAGTTTGGATTTTTATAAAATATTTTTTAGAGAGAGAAAAATGTGTTTTTAGAAAGAAAGAGAGAATGGTTTACAAGAGAGAGATAATGAGTTTTAGAGAGAAATAGGGATTGGGTTTAGAGAGGCTGGGTTTTTAGAGAGAACAGATTTTTAGAGAGAGAAAGAGATACTGGATTTCTCGAGAGAATGAATTTTTGAGAGATTGGATTTTTAGAGAGAAAATGGGTTTTTTGAGAGAGAAAGAGATTGGGGTTTTAGAGAAAGAATGGGTTTTTCCTACAGAGATAATCGATTTTTAGAGAGAGAAAGAGAGAATGGGTTTTAAGAGAATCAATTTTTAGAGAGAAAAGATTGGGTTTGGGTTTCAAAGAGCGATTGGTTTTTAGAGAGAGAATGGGTTTTTAGAGATAGAAAGAGAGATAGGGTTTTTAGAGAGAGAATGGGTTTTTAGATATAGAAAGAGAATGGGTTTTCAGAAAGAGATATAGAGATTGGGTTTCTAGAGAGAACAAATTTTTAGAGAGAAAGAGAAAAGAGTTTTAGAAAGAGAGAGAGATTGAGTTTCTAGAGGGAGAATAGTTTTTTTATAGAAAAAGAAAGATTGGGTTTCTAGAGAGAGAGATTAGATTTTGAGAGAGAGATATTGGGTTTCTAGAGAAAAAGAAAATGAATTTTTAGAGAGATCTTTTATACACTATCTATCTAGTCCCTCGGGTCAAACTTACACTAAGAATATCGTTTATATATCCCAAATTTTGGGGATGTGATCTCGACAATCTTGCAACCAAACTCAAAGGTAAAAAAAGAAAATTAACTGTCTCTATGTGCCTAAAACGAATGGCAACCCAAGATTGCATTGGTGCCATCCAATTTTTGGAGGGAATGATATTAGATATTCAAGAGCTCAAAATCCAAGTTTTTTCTTTGATAATAATCATCAAAATAGAGCTGAAATTTCATATAAATAAAAACCTCCAAGTGTTCTACCCGAGTAAATACATGGTATGCTCCATCGGAATTATAACGCACTCTTCACCCTCTGTGTCCTCTCATGCTTTACGATACAAACTTGATTCAACATTGTACTAAAATCTAATGAACTTGGTGAGGTTAATATCAAGCTTATGTGGGAGGGAGAGAGACTATTTTAAGATGAGACTAAAAATTCACATAATAGTGATATCAATATCTAATTAACATTTCATGCCCTCAGAGGGAGGGAAAGATAGAATAACAAATTAAAATATGTTTGGATCTAATGGTTAACTAATATTTGGTCATCTAATTTGTCAGTCATCTTATAGATGGTTAACTTTCAAGATATCATATTTATTAGATAATTAGCAGTGCCCTCTCAACAATATCTGTAATAACAATTAAAAGTTAAAACTAGCTTATATTCCAGATTCCAGGATGATAGATTCCCAAAAAGTTTACGGAAAGAAAACAATTGAAAATCTAAACATTACTATCAAACATGAGAAAAAAAAGTACGTGAATCTAAATCTAAGAAATCAATTTCCTAGGAAATTAATTTACTACAAGAAAACTATTTCACGCGAACCAATTGTGCCCTAAGGAAGCTTTGATTTCCAGAGCTAGGACACTAACAAAATCACAGATTATGATGTTTCTTATAGAAATAGATTTCACAAAAGAGACTTCATAACTGTTATCAGATGCCTTTTTCTGTAAATATAAGAACTCTTAGACAAATTTATGATAGCTTCAGCTAAAATAACTCATAGAATAGGTGGTGCAGATATTCTCTGACTTTAGCTTCAACTGAACACTTATTTGGTGCGCGTGTTCACAAAACATAAGTAAATCTATGAAAAATATCAACATGAAATAAATTGACCAAAATACCACCGAAACGTTTTATGGGTATTTTGGTTAATTTTGCTTTCTCGAATTATTTTTTTATATATTTTTATTAGGTGCGACTCACTAAGATGTACGCACGCTCCAAATTTCATATCATTCTGATTTGTAGAAAAAAAATGAACAATAAAACACTACCAGACAATCGTGACCGTGCGATGTACCTGGCATCAGCTCACAGTTCAAAAATAAGCTTTGAAGCATTTCCTCTCTTTCTTTAAGAAACTCCTCAGGAGAGAGAATGCCATCTAGTCCTGTTTCTTGGACAAAAATTTGAGCAGCTTCTGTTGCCTTCAATCCCATCAATTTTGACTTCAATGACATCTCAAAACGTTTTCCATATCTTGACAGGATTCTTTCTTGGACAATGGTGTAAGACCTCTCTGTGTCTGTAACCATCACATCATACAAATGGTAGAGACATCGAAGCATATTATAAATTTATAAAGTAACCACAAGAACAGAGCATGGCTCAGAGTCAAACAACTCAAAGAAACCATATAGAGGAGATCCAAACAAATACCTTTTCTGGAGGCAAACAAAAAAGCTTCAACTACATCATACTTCTCTTTTGTAGGCACAACATATCTTTACTTAGGTAACAAATGAGTAGCTTCTGTTGCTCACGTACTTTTTTTTCTCAGAAATATGAAAATGGATCGGAAATAGGATATGCAAAAGCAAAACTAATCTCCCATTTCCCAAAGCTTGGAGAACTCATTTTACAAAAGAATGCAAGATAGAGAAAGATATTTATGATCAGATTTAGATTGAAAAAGAGAGGATCATAAATTCATAATGCCTTTATTTGTGTGTATAAATCCTATTTATTGGCAGTGTGGATCGGATATATGGATAATAAATTTAATGAAGATTGAATCCTTCTTCTGGGATTGAATCCCTCTTATGGGAATTTGGTTTATAGAAATGAATGGGTACCTATTTAATCGAGATACTGGATGGTTGTGTTGGGCTAGAGGTAAGCAAATCAACCATTGTGATTGCCTTCGATGACACACTTGCACTCACTCAAGACAATTAGAAGTTAGTACAGATTTAGAAGGAGCAAGAGAGACAAAATTGGATGAATCTAATTCTATAAGAGTAAGGAGGATTTTCAGGGAGATTAGAATTGAAAGAGATTAGCAATGCATTTTGAGGGAGAGCTAAAAGAAATAGGATAGAGATCGACTCCCTCGATCTCAAGAATTTGCTTTGATTTGGGATTCTAAACACTAATGCGGTAATCATATTATTTCAAGGACACATGGCTGCAAGGTAGGCCTTGTGTGAGACAAGGACAAACATACTCACCAAAACTTATAATATTGTATAGATGGAATTCGAAATACCTTTTTTTTTTTGGGTAAGTAGAATTCGAAATAGCTACCAAGCAAAATAAGCACAACTCTTATTGAAAGGACAAAAGGAGGAAAATCTGAACATCTATGAGTGAGAATCAGGTTTGTAAAGACCGTTGTAAGTTCTAACTATTCTTGCACATACACTTCTTTTGCAAAATGATTGCCAGTCCAAGCAGGGATACACATGAATGTTCAACCAATAGGAATACATTTTTTTTTAAGAAATGCAAACTCAACTATAAAAAAAAAAGGAAAAAAAAAAGAATGCAATGTCATATCTCTATTCACGTTGGCAGGTGTGCCAGCAAAATCTAATAGAGAAATGATAGCAAGCCATCCCCTAAGCAAAACACCTCCTAATAAATGAATGTTAAGTCCTAATCGATCCAAAATTGCTTGGATATGAAGTTATAGTAATTCTAGATCCCGATAGGTTCATGTGAGCAACAATTAAAATTCAGCTGCATTTTCAGTTACTGTTTGCTAAAAGCCTAGAAGTATTGGAGCAAAAGGAAACTGTATCATGGGAAGCGTATTATTCACAACAACTAATCAATTTTTTTTAAGTTCAGAACAATGGTCATATGACCAAGCAGACCACATTAAATACAATACACATTAGAAATGTTTAAAAAACATTAATTTTCTGCTAGAATACTTGGACTAAACCCAAAAAGAAACAACAAACAGTGTTAACAAACACAAGAGACAGAAAATAAGAAACAGCAGTTACCCAATAAGAGCCCGTCCATGTCAAACATAATATGGGTGATGGCTTTCTCAGAGAAAGAAACAGTCCCCTTCTGTGCTTCTTCCTTTTTGTTGCAGTTCAAGGATTGATGTGCTGTGACAGAGAATCAAGGAGATAGTACTCTTCTTATGTTGACTTAGCCAATAGAAAATACAAAAGGACCTTCAAAAGCCGGAAAGTAAATAGAAAGGCACTTATATTTCTAGGTTGAGAAAGCACAGGAAAGGACCCAGTTGCCTACAAGAGTTTCACACCAAAACACGCCCCTACACATTTGAACTTTATAGCTTGTCTTAAACAGAGTGAATACAAAATATAAGGAAATTCACACTAATTTATTACCTGCTCTCAGGAAAAGTTTGGAAGATATTTTCTGGAGTAAAGACTGGCTCCTAAATTGACGATCATCAAAACCTATATCAGGAAACTGTACTTTTGCAGAGCAAAATCACCACATACTCATATGGTCAGTTGGTAGGTTTTCTAAGAGCACTTCATTTGGATAATGATCTCCAATTCCAAGGTTTTTTCTTGAGCTTCAAGAGTACCTTCTTCCTTAAAATTAGACAACAAAATTTTCTGACAACCCAATTATTTGCAGAAAGAAAACAAGTTGGTAAGAGTGCCTTCACATTTTCTTTTCTATTTTTTGATTTTTTTTTCTCAATGAGGCATTTTGGAGTCCATTGTCTAACTTATGTCATTTTACATCTGTCATTTCGGTCTTTAAAATATAAGGGGGGTTGCTTTTGAATTACGCACAGGAAATGAGAAAAATGTTTTCTCATAGTTATCGGAATCTTCTAAGGAGAGGCCGCTCCCGCTCCAAAAGCTCGATTCCACGCTTTGAGACACGAGATCTTAATTCCAAGCATTTCCTTGATTTAGGGATCTCGATCTAGGAAATTGAGGAACTAGATACCGCATTAATGGGATCCAGATTTCTATACTCAAAATCATGGTTCCAAGAGTAACTGGAACCGTGCTTCCACCAACTTGGAATCGAGTATCTTCTACTTCGGTAGCAAATTTCACTAGCACATTTTCAGGTTCATACACAATAGAGTGAGGATCTCCAATTTTTTATAATCTATAAACTTTCTAAAGGCCCTGATTTGCTACATATTTCATAATATATAACTTTGCACACCTTGTGAATCATGACTTGTGACTAGTTTCAAAGAAAGGCAATTAGATATGATAGGGAGTGAGAACGAAGAAGATGGAAGGAGATAGAAAAGATAGTTCAGTTGCTGTTCTAATCGAGGAATAAGGTCGTGATCAATAAGCTTAATGTCCACCTCTCAAAGGACTTCTATCGCTTGAGAGTTGTCACCCAAATTGAGCCACTCATGGGGTTGCCTTATGCTTGATGTAATAACATATATGATTGGAAATATGACGTATCTCTTGTCTATATGTCCTTAAGCCCTTAGTAATCTTTATGGAGGAGAGCTAGTTAGAACTATATATGACAATTTCTTTCCCTTTTTTTTTTTGTCTTTCTAAAGGAAAGCTTATTTATCACACAGCATTTCTTCTTCTGAATACAATCTATCGCAGCATTCTCAAATATAATCATCAATTGAGAGTCAAGGGGAATTTCCAATCCAAGACATAGTTTAAAAACTCGGCCTCCAAGCCACCTAGGCGGCCGAAAAAGCCAAAATGCCGAGGCTAGCCTTAGGCGGGCTTCCTAGGCACCGCGCGTCTAGGTAGCACCTCGACGTAGGCTGACCGAGGGAAGAAAAAGGCCCTTGGCTAAGGGTATTTTCGATTTCTTATGAAATCAAAAGATATACTTCCTAAAACATTTTGGAGCTTGGAGCGTTTGTATAAGAGGACTTTTGGAGACCAAAGATCACTAAATTGGGCTGATATCGGTTTAGGCGGGTGCCTGGCCGCCTAGCCACATAGGCGGGTGCATCTGACTTTTTGAAATTGATCCAAGAATTGGTGCCAAAAATGAGGTCGTGTGCGTACGTGTGCAATTTTTGTAATGGACCCGCATAAGTAATTTTATGGAGTGAAACTTGCTTAATTAAATGTTCAATAGAATTTGCTTCCAAGCTAGAGTACTGTGGATAAGTGATCATTGGGAGCCTCAATCCTAAGCTCAACAAACAGCGATCCCATTTAGTTAGCATTTGCTACTCGGCAGTTATGTAACGCGCTTCCTTAATGTTAGGGATCTCGATTCTGTTACCTCATGATGTATGGAACTCGTTCCCTCAACTATGGATCTTTGAACCTTTCTCACTCCCACATTCCTGCTTCCAATCCTAGAGTTCCCCTCGCTTCCATGGTAAATATGAGTTTTCTTTCTATTTCTCTATCCAACATAAGTCCTTCCAATTATTGGTCTCCAACTTAAAATCTCTCTAAACTAATTTATTGCAAATATCACCATTCACCCTCTTCTATCAAAACTCAGTGCCAATGACTTTTGTGTAACAAAATATCATTACGTCTTTGACTTCTTCGAGTGGGAGCCACATCATTGATGGTGAACTTACCATGGTTGGATCCTATTAAGTGCACCACACCCAAAGTAGGCCACATACGCAAAGCCCTACAAACTAAAAGATCAAGACATCTCCTGTATGGTCATATTGAGTCTCTCCCACAACAAGGTAGACCTGAGCCACCCCACATCTCCATGTTAGGGGCAAAAAATGATACAAATATGCAAGGTATTGTCATTGCTATAGCTATGTCATGCTTGGTTGGATTCGTACCCCATGACCATCCGAGCCTTACAATGAGTTAAATAAAACACGAAAAAAAAAAGAAATCACCATTGAGTCTTGTTCTTAGACGCTTCCTATTAAGGCATCAGTGGCCATGCCCCATGTATATCTCTCCATAGATCCTCCTTGTTTTTTGGCACTTCCTTATAAGACGCTTCCTATTCTGCATTAGTGGCCATGTATATCTTTCCATAGATCCTCCTTGTTTTTTGGCACTTCCTTATAGGACATACGATATTTGCTCCTCAATATGCATTTTATTATACCGTGTTCCAATGAGTAGGACTGTGCCAAGGGATGAACTTGCAAACATATGTGGACAATGTAATACTATTCTCATTCAAAGCGACCTTACGTTAAGATAGCTTAATAGAGCCTTGACTTCTATAGTGTTGATCCATTCATGGAATCTTTTTCCATTAATAAGATGAATTATTCATCAAACAAAAGAGGAAAAGCTCTTTTGGAGCACCTTGTCTATTGTTTGATTAAGTCGATGTCGAGAATAGTTCCCTAATAACAAGTTTCCCGAGTAAGAACCCAATAAAATCAAAACTAGCATTAGGAGGTTGTGCCTAAGCCACTAAATGACATTATCCTTTGGCCAGTAAATACTCCTCAAGAGAATTTTAAGGTGAGTCACATAAACTAAGGCAGGACAAACTTAAAATTCTTAATTCTCAAGGCCTAGCCCCAGCCTATGGCACATTGTAGAAAAATAGAGCCCAGGCCTCAGTAACAAAAAGAAGCCGTAAAATCAAAAGGTCATGGTGAGATACAGTTCAGCCCCAAGTGAAAGACTACATACAAGCACACCCATCAAATTTGGCTGAAATAGGTTGCATTTAATGTTTTATTTCAAATTAACTTCTATTGATTAATAAAACTGAATCTAAAAAGTTTATTCACCTAATACTAGAATAGTACTTAAGATAGATTTGCGAGGGCTCAAATTTGGCTTCAATCCGAATAAACTTATTCACTTTATAGTACTTATGATCATATTACTATTACTATCTACTCTCCATGGCTACTGAGAATTTTATATTACTGGAAAATAAGTAATTTAAAATAAATGTCTTAGGTCCCAATGGAAGTACAAGATTAGGCTACCGCAGTTATCATAGCTACTGAGAATTTTATATTACTGGAAAATATGTAATTTAAAAGAAATATCTTCGGTCCCAATGGAAGTAAAAGATTAGCCTAGCGCAGTTGTAGTAATAAATGCATACATACATACATGCATACATACATGTATGCATGCATGTATATGCATTCTCGAGTTAAAAAATCAGGAAGATGGTTAGCAGAACCTTTGAGATGCTCAATAGTAAAATCAAAAAAAGATAAAATAGCTTGCCAACGAGCAAATATTTGTTTAGAGACTAAATTTTGCACATCTTTGAGGAGTATATCTTTGGAAGCTTTACAATCTGTGCGAATAAGAAATGGAGTATTTAAAACATCATTTTGGAATTTTGTGACACAATGAACTATGGCTAAGATTTCTTTTTTAACAGTGGAATAATTTATCAGCAAATTGTATAGATCGATCTATTGGTATGATTGTTCCTTGATATATATTATGTCCTAAAAAACTAATTCTAGTCTGAAATAAGCTCATCGTTTTTGCAGAGACTACCAATTTTGCATGTTTATAGCATTTATAAAAACATTAATATGTTTAATATGTTGTGGTATGTTTTCGGAAAAGATTAATACATCATCAATGTATACTAGCATAAAGTTAAAATAAGGATTGAAAACATCATTAATTATTCTTTGGAATTCTGATGGAGCATTTTTTAGTCCGAATGGCATAACACTCCATTCATATTGTCCAAATGGTACATTGAATGTTGTCTTATATCTATCTTCTTCTTTTATCTGGATTTGCCAGTATCCAGATTTTTGATCAAATTTAGAAAAGATGTAAGCATTTATTAACCTATCTAATAAATCTTTTTTATTCGGTATAGGATACCTTATCCATTGAAGTGCTTTATTTAATGGTTTATAATTTATAACTAGTCTTGGAACCCCTCTTTCTTTTTCTGCATTTTTATTTACATAGAATGCAGCACAACTCCAGGGAGAAGCACTTTTTCTTATTAAACCTTTTTTCAGTAATTCATCTATTTCTTTTTTGCAAAATTCTAATAATTTGGTTTTCATTTGTATGGGTCTAGCTTTTGTAGGAATTTTAGTTTCTATAAAATTAGGTTCATATGGTAGGCTAACCATATGTTTTTTCCTTTCCCAAAAGGCATTAGGTAATTCACTACATATTTCATTTTCTATTTGTCTTGTAATATTTTTAATTTTCTCTATAATTTCAGT